CCTGTCTCTCTCTGTCTCTCTCTCTGTGTCTCTGTCTCTCTGTGTGTGTGTAACTCTGCCTTTCAAATAAGTATTTTTAAAGAGTTACAGGGCCGGCGCCGCGGCTCACTAGGCTAATCCTCCGCCTAGCGGCGCCGGCACACCGGGTTCTAGTCCCGGTCGGGGCTCCGGATTCTGTCCCGGTTGCCCCTCTTCCAGGCCAGCCCTCTGCTGTGGCCAGGGAGTGCAGTGGAGGATGGCCCAGGTGCTTGGGCCCTGCACCCCATGGGAGACCAGGAAAAAGCACCTGGCTCCTGGCTCCTGCCATCGGATCAGCGCGGTGCGCTGGCCGCAGCGCGCTGGCCGCGGCGGCCATTGGAGGGTGAACCAACGGCAAAAAGGAAGACCTTTCTCTCTGTCTCTCTCTCTCACTGTCCACTCTGCCTGTCAAAAAATAAATAAATAAAATTAAAAAAAAAAATAAAAAAAAAAAAAAAAAAAAAAAGAGTTACAATTGGGAGGACATGACAGATCACGCTGGCACTCTGCCTGTGCCAATCAGAAACTGCCAACCAATCTCTGAGGAGGGCGTTTCCACTCCAACCAATCAAGATGGTTTCCTCTGTCCTGCTGCTATGGCACTTCATAGAGCGCCCCGGCCCCGCCCCGCCCACGCCCCGCCCACGCCCACGCCCCGGCCCCGCCCCGGCCCCGCCCCGCCCCAGCTCCGAGAGCTGTGCGTTTCTCTAATTCGTGAGTCGCCGCCTACTCAAGTAGAATCTGAGTTAAACGTGCTCCAGTTTTCTCCTGACAGACCTGGTGTCAGGGGCGCGGTCTCAGAGATGCTCACTCCCGCCCCCGGGATGACCTACGACCTCGGGGACAGAGGCGCCCGCTCACACCTACGACCTCGGGGACAGAGGCGCCCGCTGACCTCCTGCTGAGGTCGGCGCTGCAGATCCGCACTTGAACGTGAACTCCACCCAAGCCGAGTTCTCTGAGCCTCTGTGAGGGTTAGGAAGTCAGGACGGGCCGGCGCTGTGGCGCGGCGGGTCCAAGCCCTGGCCTGAAGCGTCGGCATCCGGTCTTTGCGGCCATCTGGGCAGTGAGCCAACAGATGGAAGCCCTCTCGCTGTCTCTACCTCTCTCTGTAACTCTTTCAAATAAATAAAATAAATCTTAAAAAAAAAAAAAGAAAGAAAGTCACGACAGACATTGGGCACAGGGGCTTGTGCTGGGTGCGGCTGCCTAAGCTGCCACCTGCCGTGCCGGCTTCCCATAGGAACCGCGTTGAGTCTAGGCTGCTTCACTTCCCATCCAGCTCCCAGCTAAGGTGTCTGAGAAAGCAGCAGAAGATGGCCAAGTGCTGGGGCCCTGCCATCTGCCTGGGAGAGCCAGATGGAGTTCCAGGATCCTGGCTTCTGCCTGGCCCAGCTCTGACCATTGTGGCCATTTGGGGAGTGAGCCAGCAGACAGAAGATCTCTCTCTCCCCCGTTTCCTCCCTCCCTAACTCCCTCCCCTCCTTCCCCTCTCTGTTATTCTACCTTTCAAATAAATAAAAATAAATATTGAGAGGCTGGCGCTGTGGCATAGCGGGTAAAGCCACCACCTGCAGTGTCAGAATCCCATGTGGGTGCCGGTTCTAGTCCCGGCTGCTCCTCTTCCAATCCATTTCTCTGCTGTGGCCTAAGAAAGCAGTGGAAGATGGCCCAAGTGCTTGGGCCCCTGCACCCCTGTGGTAGACCCAGAAGAAGCTCCTGGCTCCTGGCTTTGGATCAGCACAGCTCCAGCCATTGCTACTAATTGGGGAGTGAACCAGTGGGTGGACGACCTCTCTCTCTCTCTTTCTGCCTCTCTGTAACTTTGCCTTTCAAATAAATACATAAATATTAAAGAAAAAGATGTATTATTTATTTGAAAAGCAGAGAGAGAGAGAGCTTCCATGCCCTGGTTCACTCCCCAGATGGCCGCATGAAGAGGCAGGATTCCATCCAGGTCTCCCCTGTGGCTGGCAGGGACCAGGCACTTGAGCCGTCCATAGCTGCCCTCCTCGGAAACACACTCTCCCTCCCGAGATGTGAGGAGGGAGAGACAAGTTTAACTAAGCTGGACGAACTTTTCAGACGGACACTTGGAGAAGAAAAGAAGCCGAAAGCTTCCAAATTAAGGGCCTGGCGTTGAGAGCAACTCCAGGCCAATCAGCGGCGAGCGTGACCTTGGCCCTGCCCGTAATCCACTGTGAAGCCAGCGGTTAATCCCCTCGTGTCTGTACGAAGTCGTCTGCTCTGTGCGTGTGGTATTCCCACCCCCTCTGGTGCTTCTGAACCAACTAGAATCTTCCAGGGGCCAGGCGTTCGGCGTGGGGCTCGGCTGGTGTGTGGGACCCTCGGGTCCCGTAGTGATTGCAGCGCTGGGTTCGAGGGCCAGGCCCACTCCCGATCCCAGCTGCCCACCGAGACAGACCCTGGGACGCAGCGCTGATGGCTGGGTCCCTGCCGTTCACGGAGGAGACCGGGGCTGTGTTCCCACTCCCAGCTCTGGCCTTCCCCTAGTCCCAGCTGTCGTGGGCAGCTGGGGAGTGAACTAGCAGACAGGCACTCTGTCCAGTGGTCTGTTCCACCCCACTCCCCCCAAGTAAAACAAAAACCTGCCTCTCAATCAAAAAGTCCTTGAAGGGAATTTCTATTCAAATTGACTTGGGATAAGTGAGTTTTCATATAAAGTAAACTATTCCTAAAACTTTCAGAAATATCAAAACTGCCCCACAATGGTTGTTATGATTTCATATGATTTAGGTGGGTCTTTGGTAAATAAAGCTATTTTCAACTTGGTGATAAAAAAGTAAGAATTTGTCATAGCTGAAGGTTTTCCCTCGGTTTCTGGCCAGGCAGAGTTGTGCCATCGCAGCTAAATGTCAAGACCACAAAGCTACAAATCCAGCCCAAGAGCAAAATGGGCACTAAAGATGATTGCTCGGTGCATATCATTTGCAGAAATGATGGTGGGGGGAGTCATGTTTAATTTTTTAGTTTCTTTGTTTCTATGATAATTCTTTTTAGATTTTATTTTATTAATTTGAGAGGTAGGGTTATAGTCAGAGAGAAGAGACAGAGAGAGAGGTCTTCCATCCTCTGGTTCATTCCCCAGATGGCAGCAATAACCAGAGCTGAGCTGATCCAAAGCCAGGAGCCAGGAGCTTCCTCCGGGTCTCCCACGAGGGTGCAGGGGCCCAAGGGCTTGGTCCAGTTCCTACTGCTTTCCCAGGCCACAGCAGAGAGCTGGATTGGAGGAGGAGCAGCTGGGACTCAAACCGGTGCCCACATGGGATGCCAGCACCTCAGGCAGAGGCTTGGCCTATACGCCACAGCGCTGGTCCCGCTTCTGTGATGTTTTTTAACACTTTCCTGTGTTGTCAACAAAATTAATTAACATCAAATGAGCACGCAGGGATGCTCTGTGGGTCTGTGCTGAATCTGTGGGGTAAACTGACAGCAGGCAAATGAGGAAGAGAAAGACTACAATTTCCTGCATGCAAGCGGATGTCCCAAGAGCGAAAAATGAATACGTCCACACCAGTTCACTTGCCTTTTCCATAGGGGAGAGGGTGAGGGGAGGCAGACAGCTCGCAGTGGTGGTGGGGCAATGGGCGGAGCCTCCGACAAGGAGATGATAGGTTGGTGGACAGTTTATCACTAGGAGGTGATAGAGTTTGGAAGTGGTGTCGACCCCTCGTGCTCCCTCCTGTTGTGTTCTGGGCTGGGCCCAGGATCTTCTCTGTCACAAGGAGTTCAAGACAGAGACATAGGTAGAAGTGGGCAGAGAAGCAAGATTTATTTACCTGCAAAATGAAAATACCACTCAGGAAGGAGTTTGGGCAAACGCAGGAGCCAGGGCTGCCCTCAGCAAGGTCTGGGTTGATCTGGAGGCACAGCAGGTGGTGTCTGGGGCAGGGTTCATTGAATATTCAAAGGGGGTGGAGCAAGGGAGCAGGGCTGGAACACCACCCATGTCCTTGCTGTTGTTTGGGAAATCTGGGGAGTGTCATGGCGTCAGGTGCATGATGGGAGCTGGAGTGTCAGCCATGGTAATTCTGTTATACCGACATTATAACGACCTAAAAGTCACCGTGGGGACACAGCCTACTGCACCGGCCCCTCATGCTGCGTTTTCGTAGGTCTTTTTATTAGAAAACAGGAGGGGGCTGGGGCCAGCATTGTGGTGCACGGCAGGTTAAGCCACTGCCTACAACACCAACATCCCACATGGTTGCCAGTTCAAGTCCCGGCTGCTCCACTTCTGATCAGCTCCCTGCTAACGGCCTGGGAAAGCAGCAGAGGACACGTGGGAGACCCAGAGGAAGCCCTGGCTCCTGACTTCAGCCTGGCCCAGCCCGGGCAGTGAACCAGCAGACGGAAGATCAAGAATGAAGATAACGGAAACATTTAACTTTCTCTGCCGTGAATCCCTCCAGGGCTGAGAATCCATTACTAAGTTCCTGCCATCAGGGATAAGACTCTCCTTATGAGGGCAAACAGCTGGAAACACCGCACTTCCATTACAGCGTCCCATCCCGAGCTGCCGGTGCACCTGGCTTCCAGGGTGCCCAGCCCTGCGCGGAGTAAAACGTCGCTTCCTGCCAGGCCCAGGATCCCCGCGATATTTTGGGGGCTGTGAGACAACAGCAGTCCACTCCAGCGTCAAGCTTCAGCCCAAAGCTGTTCCAGGTGCCGTGGCGGCAAGGGCCGGCTTGCGCTCAGCCTGGAGAACTCTCACACTGCAAGCTGAGATTCTTACAGTTCCCGCCCTGCGGGTCAGCGGTCGGCCGCCTGTCCCCAGTGCGCCTGAGGTTTTATTCTCTGCCTGAGCCCCCGGCCGGATCCTGCATTCCCGACCCTCTCCCGTCTTCCCCGACTTGGAATCGCTTTGTCCACGAGGCCGGACTCAGCCCCGCCGCCTGAGGTGTGGACCGCCCACCCACGGCTGGCTGATGCACCCGGGGCCACAGCCAGCCACTTTCCAACTGCAGACCGGGAGAGGCCACAGGAGCTCGGATCTAGCAGTCTTCCACGGTGCCGGCACTGGGCCAGGGGCAGGGGCTGCGGCGCCGGCGTCTCCCCACCCCACCCACGACGGAGTCGCCATCACCAGCGCCCGGCCGGGGCCGTCGAGGCGACACCAGGCGGTCTCAGCGATCAGGGCCGCACGAAGGGATCGGAGACAGAGAAACCAGGCTGTGACCGCTACAGAGAGACAACCCCTCCCGAGCTAACCGGTGGCTCAGGCGCTTTAAATCCCTACGCGTGGAAGTAGGCAGGAAAATGAAATGAGCCACTGGGCCAATCAGAAGTCTCCGCCCAACCTCGGAGGCGGGGCTTTCCCCCACGAACCAATCAGAACCGTCGTCTCTGTTGCGCTTCCGCCAGCCTCACAAAGCGGTCTTTCCCGCGCCAAGTTCTGACTGTGCGGAGGTTGACCGGTCGCCAGAGGTGGATGTGGGAGCCCCAAGGAGCCAGGCCTGTCAGGTGCCGGAAGAGCCTGCAGCCGCGGGCCGACCGGACACGAGAATCGTGCTGCGGCCACCCCCGGGAGGCCACGTGGCCCTGGAATACCCGCGACCATGCCATTGCTCTCGCGGCAACAGAGGGGCTCGGGGTGGCCCAGTGAGGAGGCCGAGGGCAGCAGTGGGACGTGCGGGGGGGGGGGGCCGCCCGACGTTGGCCAGGGCTCTGGGGTCCACTTGGCCGTGGCCGGCTTGTCCCTGGTGTGGCCTCTGGGCGTCGCGGGGTGAGCTGTCGGACCCCTAAGCCCCTGAGGCTGAGGTCGGGAGGCCCCGCGAGCACTCTGCCCAGCTTGGGGGCAAGGCCAAAGGTCATCGGCGCCCGCAGCCAGCTCGCAGGGCTTGGGAGCCTTTGGGGGCTCTCAGTCCCCCCACGCACGTCCTGGTCAGCTGTCGCCCTCTATCCAGCCCTCCCCCACACGTGTCCTCGCCGGTGGCCCGCCTCTTGTGAATGGAGTGCGAGGGGATTGCCAGGAAAGCTGGCGGAGGCCAGCACGTGAGCCGGCTGCATCGGCAGAACGGGGCGGGGCGGAGCTGCCTCGCTGGCAGGGGTTTGGCCTGGCGGCTGAGGCCGGGTCAGGACACCAGCACCCCGGGCCGGCCATGGCGTAGCAGGTGAAGCCGCCTCCTGTGGCGCCGGCATCCCACAGCGGCGCCGGTTCACGTCCCGGCTGCTCCACTTCCAATCCCGCTCCCTGCTGTGGCCTGGGAAAGCCGCGGAAGACGCCCGAGTGCCTGGGACCCTGCACCCGCGTGGGAGACCCCGAGGAGGCTCCTGGCTTCAGATCGGCCCAGCTCCGCTCTGGCTGCTGGGACCATCTGGGGAGTGACCCAGTGGACAGAACATCTCTCTCTCTCTCTCTCTCTCCTCACTCAGCTTCCTGCTAACGCAGACATGGCAGGGAGCGGCGATGGGTCAATCGTGTTCCTGCCACCCCATCTGGAAGACCTGCAATGCTGGGATCCCCTGCCGTCCACGAGGGAGACTTGGATGGAGTTAGTGGCCCCGGCTCGGGGTGACCCTGTGGATGGGAGCTTTCTCCCTCTCAAGCACATTTTTAAAGTGTGTGTGTGTGTGTGTGTAACGGCAGCTGGCTTAGTGGCTATAGCAAGACAAAGAACTACAAAGGAACACAGGAGCTTGTTCCGGGTCTCCCACGTGGGTGCAGGGGCCCAGGCACTTGTTCCATCTTCCGCTGCCTTCCCAGGGCACAGCAGAGCTGGACAGGAAGTGGAGCAGCCGGGACACAAACCAGCGCCCGCATGGGATGCCAGCACTGCAGGTGGCGGCTTTACCCACTACGCCACAATGCCAGCCCTGAGGGACGTTTTAAGGTTGCAAGCTCTCCTAAAAATGTTCTTTCTTTATGAATTTAAGATGTACTTATTTATTGGAAAAGTAGAGTGACAGAGAGAGAGAGAGAGAGAGCGAGCTTCCATCTGCTGGCCCCTCCCCAGGTATCCTCAACAGCCAGGCTGAAGCCAGGAGCCAGGAAGCCCATCCAGGTCTCCTGTGGGACTGGCAGGCACCCAGACACTGGGGCCACTGAAGACACGGCTCTGCCTGCACGTGCTCCGGCCATCGGCACCCCCTCCTGAGACGGCTTCCCCACAGCCGAGCAAACCAGAGGGCGCGAGGCTGCTCCGAGTTGCTGTGGTAAGGAGCCAGCTCTGGCACTGCCGTAGGAGAGACTCGCAAGCTGGCGGAGGCGCAGGAAGCTTCAGGATGGACCACGGGAAGGTGGGGGCCTGACCCCAGGCGGTGGCCCAGCTGGCTAGAAGCAGGCGATGCGGGGTAACGGGTTAGGCGCCTGCTTGGCTTTGCCGGCTTGGTCCTGAGTAGGAGGCGGAGACAAACGTTGGGGAAATTGTCCGTTATTAATCAAGGCCTAGCCGGTGGGGACTGAGGGTTTCACAAGTTATTGTTTGGTGTTCTGGAATGTTCCAAGGGAACAGTGAGATAGCAGTGAGACAGGCCGGCTTCCGGGCTGCTTGCTGGAGGCAAGGACTGGCCTCTCAGGCCGGGTGCTATGTGTTGGAGACCTGAGTTCCACCTTCACACATGGTCTACACCTGTCGCACTGTCCACTCAGTGTCCCTGGCCCTGTGGGCCCAGCCATGCCGCTGGCAGCTCTTCTCTGAGTATAGAAACGTCCCACAGGGAAAACGGGAGCCGGCAGCGTCCACTTTGAAGCAACAGCTTCTGGCTGAGTTCGGGGCTCCAGGGGAGACCAGACACTTGATCTCAGGACCCCCAGGAAAAGACGGTCATGAGTCGCCCGTCAGAACCAAGGCTGGAAGACAGGGATCAAACAGCACCACCTCCGCTGCACGCGGTTACAGCGGGAGCTGCCCAGGCAGACCCTGGTGCCCTGGGAGACTGCGTGACTCAGGATGTGACACACTTGGGCCTCAAGGGCAGAGCCCTCTGGGGACAGTAACCCGAGAGCTTCCCTTCCCGAGGGCTCTGCCTGGTACTGCGGACCACCTCCAGCTGGGTCAGCCGCCCTGAGGACCCGGCTTCCCGTAGCATCCCTCTCCATCCACCTTGCCGGGGAAGAGAGAAAGCCAGGGTCGGCGCCCACAGACCCAGGCAGAGGCCGGTGTCAGGATCCCAGAAGAGGTGAGACTGAGGGGTGGGCACGGTGGGTGTCGTTGACAAGCTTTGAGGGAGAGGCTGGGTGGTGTCCACCTGTGCTGTGGGGACACTGGCCCAGAGGACCCCGCTTCAGAAAAGTGCTCCTGGGGCCAGCGCTGTGACGCAGCAGAAGCCGCACTGCGACGCCAGCATCACACGTCGGGGCACCGGTTCAAGTCCCGGTTGTTCTGCTTCTGATCCAGCTCCCTGCTAATGTGTCTGGGAAGGCAGCAGAAGATGGCCCTGCCACCGTGTGGGGGACCTGGTTGGAGTTCCAGGCTCCTGGCTTTGGCCTGGCCCCAGGCACAGTCATTACGGGCATTTGGGGCGTGAACCAGCTGATAGAAGATCGCTCTGCCTCTGTGACTTTCAAATAAATAAAATAAATCTGAAAAATCGGTGCCGTCGACCCACCGGAGACAGCGGCTTGCTGGGCCCCCGTCACCTCTCGATGGATTTCGGGCATCTGTCTGCCACATGGCGAGGTGGATGGCTTTGATCACCATTTACTTGCTCACAATCCGTGGAGCAGGAGGCAGACAGCACCACAGGTGCTGTGAGCTGGAGTGCCCTGGGCTGCATTCCCAGCCCCCAGACGCCAGCCCTGTCCCCCAGCCCAGAGTCTGGAGCGAGCAGTCAGGCCCATTCCCAGGTGGGAGAGCGGAGGAGTCCTCTAGGGGCAGCGCCCACCAAGCCTGCCCTGAAGTTCACGGCTTCTCCCTCACGTGGGACTTGCCATCAGCTTCCCTGTGCACTCCCAACGCAACAGACACCAACAGGCACCATGCGACTGCCGGGCACGCGAGGGGCTTCCCTGACATGAGAGACAAGAATGAACAGGAAGACTGGGTGAGCCTGTGGTGCAGTGGTCAAGCTCCCATTGCAGGGCCAGTGTCCCATATCAGGGGTTCGAGTCCCAGCTCCCTGCTAATGGCCTGAGAAAGCAGCAGAGCAGGGCCCAAGTGCTTGAGCCCCTGCCACTCACGTAGGAGATCTGGATGGGTTCTTGGCTCCTGGCTTCAGCCTGGCCCAGTCCCAGCCATCGCAGCCATCTGAGGAGTGAACCGGCAGACAGAAGACCGCTCTCTCGCTGACTTTCAAATAAAGAAATAAATACTCTAAAAGGAGGAGGAAGAGACTAGAAAGAAATACGCCACTCAGAGAAGACAGGGACCCCAGAGGCAGAACCCTAGAAAAGATTCACAGGAACTTTAATCATCGTCTTCAGGGAGATAAAAGGCCTTACACCCAGCATGTCAGAGAGGAAGTCCGCTAGAAGAATATTTAGGGGAAAAGGAACTTTTGGGAATTACAAGTATGTCAGAAATGAAACATCTCAGGTGACAGTCAAACATGTCATATAAAAATAGAACAAAAAGACAAAAGTGTGGAAAGGTAATGGGAGAATTGTTGAGGAGGGCCAGACAGGGCAGAAAACCAGGTAATGGAGGCAATGGGCGCCTGTGGACCACAGTGCCGATCCTGGGCAGAGGGATCTCCAGGTCTGGCAGGTCACTGATGGAAAAGAACCCGACACAGACGCCACAGCAAGCTTAGCCCGGAACCTAAAACCCACGGAAATACAGTGGAGAGCCCTCAGCCTTCCAGACGGGGGAGAACAAAGAGGCCACGCCGGGCGGGAGAAGGAATTTGGAATTGCGTCAGATCGCGTGCGAGTGATTTTGAAACACGGCCACAAAGCCCCAGACACTCAGCGATCTCTGGGGACGCTGGGCAGGCTCGTGCCTGCCTGGACAAGGGGATGCTGCGGAAGTGACGCCGTGGCCCTCACAGCTGGGCTTTGTAGATCCTCTGTGCCACTCATCACAGGCTTCGTGCGAGGGGTCCCACTGCCTGGAGGCTGCGGGGGAGGGGGGAGGATGGGTGCTGGGGCCTTGGCCAGCCCGACTTCCAGGTGCCAGCCAGCTGGGAAAGAAAGCCTCAAGGTGACCTTGGAAGAGCTGTCACCTGACTGTGACCCCAGGAGACTGAGAACTGCCCGGATTCACAGGAGACAGAATTGGTAAAACCAATCCATCGTTTTAAGAAAAATGACTGGATCCCTTACCTCACGCCATACCCAGTCAACTCCAGAGAGATCACTGGTTCTCAGCCGGGCGCCCGGCAACATTGGGATGCGTCTGTGTTGTCATGGCTTGTGGGGTGCTGCGGGCTCCTGGGGGAGCTGCGTGGTACCCACAGTGCACAGGACTGCGCCTGCCACGAGGACATCTCCAGCCTGAACCGCCCGTGGGTCCAGGCAGAGTGACCGCGCAGCAGGGTCCACCTACATGCTGGACGGGAAGAAAACCCCAACCAATAGTAACAATGCTGCTGATGATGATGATAAGGACGTCCTCCTGACCCTGGCATGACTGCACAGGGCCCCTGACCGGATGACCTTGACTACTCAAAGCTGAAGGTCACGTGTCAGATCTGTCACATCTGACAGATGGCAAACTCAGGCAACACCTGCAGCATCTGACAGGGAGGAAGCCTTGTGGTTATGGCAGGGAAGGCGGTGACCTAACTAAGTTCTTCAGAATCCCCCCAAAGCCGCAAGCAACAGGAGAACCAAGCATGCGCCCCCCACCCTTGGGAAAGTCGGAGGCACAGGAAGTGATGACGGCTATGAACTTCTACACACCAAACCACACACCCAGACATCCGCAAAGCAAAAGCCGACAGCAGCGGCTGGCGGTGTGGCATAGCGGGTTAAGCCGCCTCCTGCACCGCCAGCAACCCATATCAGTGCCAATTTGGGTCCCAGCTGCTCTGCTTCAAATCCAGCTCCCTTCTCATGCACCTGGGAAGGCAGTGGAGATGGCCCAAGTGCTTGGCCCCTGCACCCACGTGGGAGACCCAGATGAAGCTCCTGGCTCCTGGCTTCGGCCTGGCCCAGCCCCTCCCAGCTGCTATGGCCATTTAGGGGGCGAACCAGTGGATAGAAATTTTCCTCTGTGTCTCTTCCTCTCTGTCTCTGTAACTCTGCCTTTCAAATAAATCTTTGAAAAAAAAAAAAAAAAAAAAGCTAATGAGAGGCCAGGACTTTGGCAGCTCTAAGGAACAGGAAGAGAACGAAGGCGAAGGCACCAGCCTTTTCATTGCTACTGGACATTTGCTAAGATAGCCATGTTCCATGCCTCAAGGAGGGAGTTAGAGGGGCTGGCTCTGTGGCGCAGTGCATTAAAGCCCTGGCCTGCTGCATTGGCATCCCACATGGCGCTGGTTCGAGTCCCGGCTGCTCCACTTCCTGTCCAGCTCTCTGCTGTGGCCTGGGAAAGCAGTAAAAGATGGCCCAAGTCCTTGGGCCCTGCACCCATGTGGGAGACCCAGAAGAAGCTCCTGGCTCCTGGCTTCAGATCAGCCCAGCTCCAGCCATTGCGGTCATCTGGGGAGTGAACCAATGGATGGAAGACCTCTCTCTCTGTCTGGCTCTACCTCTCTGTAACTCTGTCAAATAAATTTAAAAAAAAATATTTTTTTAAAGTAAGATTTAGAGCATGAGGGAGAGGCAGAGACAGTACAGCTAACAGTCTCAGAAATAAAACTAAAAATAGCAAAAACCAGGAAACGAAAAACAGCCTACCACCTGCACATTTATAAATCTCACTTAACGTGACTCCTGTCAAAAGAGGAAATAAACACTGAAATCGCAGCGCCTCTAGCAAACGGTAATAAAGGAGCTCCATATATCAGCGCCCAGGTCTGCTTGTCCGACTGCCTCAGACTACAGCCGCGGCTGGGCCAGCCGCGCACACCTTGTTCTTCAAAACAGCCTGGCCGGTGGGTGCTTTGCTGTTGCTTACATTTAGCGCCAGCTTTCGCAGTTTCAGGCGCATCCCGGTGGGGTTTCTGCCGGGAACTTGCAGTGAGCGTATCCATTCATTTGGAAGGAAGCGGCATCTTTATTCAATTATCCCACCCCACCTGGGAAGGCCCGCTGAGCAGCGAGGGGGCTGGGGGCCTGGGCGCACGCAGGAGGAAGTCATAAATACCGCCCCGGCCTGGGGGACCCCCATCCCGCAGCCTTTGCGGCCAGAGGTTTGCCCGGGGGAGGAAGCTGGCTTCGCAAGGTGCAGAGCCGTCAAGGGAACAAGACGAACAGCTCACCCTGTTTCTAACGACACTTCAACGGGTTCTTGCTCTTTCTTTTTGCTGATTTATGGGAGGCGCTTGCGCACAGGGCAGCCGAGTCTTCCGTTCCTAACAGCTTGGATTAGGCGGAGGCGGGCGTAAGCTCCTCTGAGCATCTGGCATCTCAAGTAGCCCTCAAGGGCCACGCGGTGCCCGTGGGGAGGAAGCAGAGCCCCGAGCTTTTGTGTTGGGAGACAAAGGAGGTGCAGGCAGGAAGCCAGGTGTAGGCAGGGGACCCACACGGAGACACCAGGTTCCCAGCTCGGCTCCCAGGGCTCTGCACAGGCTCTGCTGCCCTGGGAGCCACAGGACACAGGTGCCCACTGAGGTCCCCCCGATGGACGCTGCAGGCCATGTCCCATGCTTGAGGACCAGGCTGAGCCGAGGGGGGACCCTGAGATCCAGGACTGAGAGGAGAGGGTCTGGGAGGGATCCGAGCCAGGCCAGCAGGGAGGGAGAGCTGCGCCGTGCCTCAGCGGCTGGGGGCTCCCCTCCTTCACCCTGACCGTGGCTTAAAGGCACGGGAAAGTCAACAGGGAGAGTCCTAGCCCCTGACGCAGAGCAGGTGCACCCTGTGCTTTGCAACCCCAACAAAACCCCAGGAGGACAAGGACAAGCTCTGTGGAGTCTCTCCCCGAAGGAAACAGGAAGAGGGCCCCCAGCCAGGGCCCGAGCTGGAGCCTGGGTCTCCGCCAGGGAGCGGGAGCACAGCCAGGCGGAGCACACAGGCTGGGGGCCAGGTCCTGGGTGTGTACCCGGGGCTGGTAGAGCCGACCGCCCAGCCACGGCCTTGGCCAGGCCTCCGCCACCAGCCTGGAGCAGAAGCCGGAAGTGCAGACCCAAGGGAGAACACAGGAGTGCGGGTGGTGGTGGTGCAGGGACAGCAGAGTTCCGGTGGGGTCCACCGCCTTGCGCCTGGGAAAGGAGCGGAGGACGGCCCAAGTGCTCAGCGCCCTGCAGCGCCTGGGAGACCTGGACGGAGCTCCTGGCTCCTGGCTCCAGCCTGGCCCAGCCTCAGCCATTGTGGCCCCTTGAGGAGTGAACCAGTGGATGGAAGATCTCTCTCTCTCTCTCCCTCCCTCCCTCCCTCCCTCTTTTTCTGTGACTCTGCCAGCGCTGCGGCTCACTAGGCTAATCCTCCGCCTTGTGGCGCCGGCACACTGGGTTCTAGTCCCGGTCGGGGCGCCAGATTCTGTCCCGGTTGCCCCTCTTCCAGGCCAGCTCTCTGCTGTGGCCCGGGAGTGCAGTGGAGGATGGCCCAAGTGCTTGGGCCCTGCACCCCATGGGAGACCAGGAGAAGCACCTGGCTCCTGGCTTTCGATCGGTGTGGTACGCCGGCAGCAGCACGCCACTGGAGCAGACATTGGGGGGGTGAACCAACGGAAAAGGAAGACCTTTGTCTCTCTCTCTCTCTCTCTCTCTCTCTCTGTCTACTCTGTCAAAAATAAATACAAATAAATAAAAATCTAAAACAATTGCATTTGTCCTGAAAAGGCACATGCCCTTTCCCCTGCCATTGATCCCCTGAAGTGCCCCAGCACAGCACCTACTTGAGCAGCAGTGACTTTGTATCGGGTGCTACAAGGCTGCGGGAGGACGTGCGCTATGCAGACACCAGGCTGTGTCACAGGAGGGACCCGGGGCTAGACTGTGGTCTCCACAGGGGACGTGGACCCCCCTCACCCCCACGGCTCCTGTCCTCTGCTTCTGTTTCCTACTCAGCAGGAAGATGCAGGCTTTTGGTACAGCTTCTGGTGGTGATGAAATTTAGGCATGACTTAGAAATGTGAGGTAACTGCTGAGAAGAGAGAGGAAACACATGCCTCCCAGACCAGTGCTGCAGCCCCAGTCCGAGTCCCGGCTGCTCCACTTCCGATCCAGCTCTCTGCGTGGCCTGGGAAGGCAGTGGAGGATGGCCCAAGTGCTTGGGCCCCTGCACCCGCGTGGGAGACCTGGAAGAAGCTCCTGGCTCCTGGCTTCGGATCGGCACAGCTCCGGCCGTTGTGGCCACCTGGGGAGTGAACCAGCGGATGGAAGACCTCTCTCTTTCTCTCTGCCTCTCTGTAACTCTTTCAAATAAATTAATTAATTAAAAAAAAAAAAACAGCACAGGCAGCAGAGTGCAAACAAGCAAAAACAAACTTTCTGGGGACGCAGCCGCGGTGGGAAGCAGGCCTCCTCTCCTCTACCTTTGCCGTATTTCTTAAATCTCAAACATCAGCATGTCATTTGCCGCGTGTCAAACGTGGTTGCAGTGTTGAATAGCCTTCTCCCTGGAGGAGCTCTGATAGCTGTCACTCAAAGTCCAGAGCTGCCGGGGCAGGGACACACCCACCTTTGTAGGCGGAGCGATGGAGGCAGAGTGGGGCTCTGCGAGGGGCTCGGTGCTTTCTCCCGAGGGAAGCGGAACTGGGCAGGGGTCAGGGCAAGGAGGGGCAGGCGGGCTGAGCTTTATCATGAGCCCGCCACTCCGTGTCCACAGAGGAGGGGTCAGCAGGGCCAGCCCGCGAGGCTGGCACACCGGAGAGGCACCGCAAAACTCCAGGCGAAAGATGACCGGTCAGAACAGAGTGGGAACACAGTAGTAGTAGTAGTACTGCTATTTTAAAATATTTGTTCATTTAACTTGAAAGGCAGAGAGAGAGAGAGAGAGAGAGAGAGAGAGAGAGAGAGAGTCTTCCATCACTCCCCAAATGGCTGCAGCAGCCAAGGCTGGGCCAGGCTGAAGCCCAGAACTGCACCTGGGTCTGCCACGTGCATGGCAACAGCCCCAGCACTTGGGCTGTTCTCCCCACCTTCCCAGGCTCGGTAGCAGGGCGCACACGTGCAGCAGCCAGGACTCAAAGCAGCGCTCACCGGGGACTGTGCAGCCCACGCACTGCGGTCCCCAGGCAGTGGGCAGATCGAGCTGGGAGGATGCAGTGGGTTGGGGGGGGGCACAGGCAGGCGCCCCTGTTGGTCCCTGTTTCTGGCCCGGAGGCTGCTGGGGGAGGCAGGTACAGGGACGGGAGCACCGGATGGATCAGGTGCTGAGGGAGAGGTGAGAGCCAGGCCTGAGCCCAGGCAGAGGGGCCTCCTTAACCCCTGCGGTGCCGGACGAGCCAGGGCACAGGGTGGGTGTGGACCGAGGCGGGGGGGGGGGGGTTTTATGGTGAGGAGACCTCAGGCCCAGGTCCGGCAGCTGTGCCCACCTGGGCAGGCCACCCAGCACCTCTGAGTCACTATTTCTGAACAGAGGCCCCCACTACCCCACCCTGGGTGTGGGAGGATTAAGGGGCTACCACACGGCAAACGCCCGGCACCCAGCCTGGCCCTGGGGGACAAGGGGATTCTGCCCCAGCCATTGCTTCTCCCTGCAGCCGGCGTCCCCTCGGCCCAGTTAGCGAGAGGAGGAAGGAACCCACCCTCTGGCTCCATCCTGCCCCCTTCTCCCCCCTCGAAGGAGGGATCCATGGACTCAGCCCCGGATTAGCTGTGTAATCCCCGGCTCTGCCCGGGCAATCGCCTCCCGCCCGCCGGGAGCGGAGGCCCGGGGCTGGGAGCTGCCCTACCCGCAGGGGCGACCGTGGTCAGAGCGGGGGTCTCTCGGGGGAGCGCGCCTGCATCCACCGGGCCGCTGGTGGCATGGATGCGCCGCGCGCAGGGCGCTTCGGGACGCTGGAGTGAGGCTCCGGGGCTCGGCAGGGGAAGCAAGCACATCGCTAGAGAGCTGGCATCCCAAGGGGACACAGGCCGAGCTGGGGCCCAAGACGTCCCCTCCGAGAGGGGCAAGCGCGGGAGGGCACGGCCACCCAGGGGCCACAGAGGGGTCGGCCGGGAAGAGGGGATGGGGGTGCTGGCCGCACGCGGGGCCGGTGCAGGGCACCCCGAGCCCTCAACGCCCGGCTTGGCAGGGCCGGACTCCGAAGGCGGCGGAGGCGACTCCAGGGCCGGAGCCCGGCGACAAAGGGTGGCGGCGCCCGGCAGTGCCCCCGGCCGCCTCCGTGCTGGGCCGCGCCCCGCTGAGGCTCTGGACGCGCGCCCTCGGGGAAGCCCTCGGCTGACAGCTCCTGCCTGCGGAAGACTCGCCCCGGCTCTCCGCGGCTAACGAGCCGGGGAGTCCTTTCCCGGGCACTCGGAGGCACTGCGGACGTCACAGCGCGGGAGGGACCAGCCTGCTGGCGAATGCCCGCCCCCACAGTGGAAGATGGCGGGCCCAGGGCAGAAAGGACTACAACTCCCAGGAGGCTCCGCGCCAAAAGTCACTTCCGGTCCCCCTGTCTTCCCACAGGAGGCGGAGCTGGAGAGGCGCAAGGCTGCCTGGTCGCGTGACGTTCTTCCTATGCGCCGCGCGGCAGCCTCGTCGCGCCGGCTCCTGAGCCTCGGTGTTGTGAAGGTGACAGCGGGAGGTGACGGTCTGGCCCCCGCGATGCTGGTGGCGCGGCGGCTGCTCGGCGGGGCGCTCCCCGCGCGGGTCTCCGTGCGGTTCAGCGGCGACACGGTGAGAGCCGGCCTGACCCGGGCCGCGCCTCGGAGCGCGCGGTGCCTGGGCTGTGTGGCGCCTTGTGGGGAAGCCGCCGCGGGGGCTGGCTGTGCTCGCGGCCCCGCGGCCCCTCCGGCCTCGCCGCAGCCTGGGTCTCGGAGGCGGACTGCAGCCGCGGAAGAGGAGGCGCGCCGCGGGGTCCCACGTCCGGGGTCTGCCCCCTCGCAGTGGCGGAAAGGTGCCTCCACGGGGCGACGTCGGGAGTGAGGTTCGAGTGGACCTCCCCCGCCCGTCCTGCTTAGAGTGAGAGTTGAGGCCCGGCGCACCCAGTCTTGGCCGCAGGAGAGGCAGACCGAGAGGTGGACGGGGCGTCGGGGCTCCCGGCCCACCTGCCGCTCTGGCCCTGTGACCTTCCGTGAGCTCGGTCACCCCGGCCTCGGTCTGCTCCTCCGTAACTGGGCTGTGGTGAGCAGGAACTGGGACCCCGCGTGTAAGATGCTGAGCGCGGGGGGCACGGGGAGGGTTGGGGGCGGGGCCCCGGCTGCAAACCCGTAGCTTCTGGCCGAACCTCTGCCCCCGACCCTCTGACCCCCAGACGGCGCCCAAGAAAACCTCCTTCGGCTCGCTGAAGGATGAGGACCGGATCTTCACCAACCTGTACGGGCGCCACGACTGGAGGTGAGCCGGGACCAGGGCCTGGGCCTGGTGAGCTGGGGCAGGGGCTGAGCCCGGTGAGCTGGGGGCTGAGCCCGGTGAGCTGGGGCGGGGGCTGAGCCCGCTGGGGTGGGGGCTGAGCCCGGTGAGCTGGGGGCTGAGCCCGGTGAGCTGGGGTGGGGGCTGAGCCCGGTGAGCTGGGGCAGGGGCCTGAGCCCGCTGGGGTGGGGGCTGAGCCCGGTGAGCTGGGGCGGGGGCTGAGCCCGGTGAGCTGGGGGCTGAGCCCGGTGAGCTGGGGTGGGGGCTGAGCCCGGTGAGCTGGGGCGGGGGCTGAGCCCGGTGGGCCGAGGCGGGGGCTGAGCCCGGTGAGCTGGGGTGGGGGCTGAGCCCAGTGGCCGCGTCCGGGCCCCGTTCACTGCCCGCCGTCCCGACCGCGCAGGCTGAAAGGCGCCCAGAGCCGAGGGGACTGGTACAAGACGAAGGAGATCTTGCTGAAGGGGCCCGACTGGATCCTGGGCGAGATCAAGACGTCCGGCCTGCGGGGCCGCGGGGGCGCCGGCTTCCCCACGGGCCTCAAGTGGAGCTTCATGAACAAGCCCTCGGACGGCAGGTGCGTGTGTGCCCTCGCCGCGGTGGACTGGGGGTGCTCTCTGGACTTCCTGTGGGGAGACGCGGGTGCAGACCTGGGCTTCGAGCCCTGGGCAGCCCCGGGCGGCCTCCTGGCCCTCGTGAACCTTGGGGTCCCCGCGCGTGGCCATCCCGGCGGCTGCCGGCCCTGGAAATGGGGCGGAGGCCGAGGCCGCTCTGGCCGCCCGCAGTTTGTTTCCAGGAGAGCGGGGAGCCGAACGGAGGCCTTCTCGGGGTCAGCGCTGGCCACGGTGGGGCCGGGAGCTGGCCGTGACCGCGGCGAGCAGGCAGGGGCGGCAGGGGTGCCCTGCGGTGGAGGCCCAGGCTGACTGTGACCCGCACAGGCCCAAGTACCTGGTGGTGAACGCGGACGAGGGCGAGCCGGGCACCTGCAAGGACCGGGAGATCATGCGCCACGACCCGCACAAGCTGGTGGAAGGCTGCCTGGTGGGGGGCCGCGCCATGGGCGCCCGCGCCGCCTACATCTACATCCGCGGCGAGTTCTACAACGAGGCCTCCAACCTGCAGGTGAGCGGGGGCGGCGCAGGGAGGGGCCCTCCCGCCCCGTCCCGCAGGTGGCCGTCCACGAGGCCGCGAGGCCAGGGCCCTCCCTCCCACCCCGT